ATACACCATTAACTGTTTTTAAAGCATTATAACTTGTTGCTCCTTTAATATTCAATAAAAGAATACGTAAATGGAATAATTCAATTTCAGTTGGACTAACTGAGTACATTCGTCCAATACAATTAAATTTACTCTGACGTTTTTCCCAACGACTAATTTGTTTTCCATCAAGAATTACTTTCTTGAACACGTAATATAAAGGTATATCTGTATATACATATTGGTGTGCATCAACATCTCGTTTATTTAATTCAAAATAATCCATTAACATTGTTATACGTTCTAAAGCAGATTGTAAATCTTGTTCATTTAAATGATCAGAGATAATTACATTTTGTTCACTTGGCAAATGTACAGGTAAACGAATGATGGCATGACTTTTTTCTTGCAATATTTTATTTACAATACGCCAATAAGCTTCAACTGGTCCTACATAACGTGCTTCAATAAAATCTTTGATTTCGTCATGAACAATTTCCATATTATTCACATCTTCTTCTATAACTACAGATGCTGCATCGTGACCTTTGTAAATATATTTATATAAATACTTTACTGACTTGATACTTGAAACAACTTCAACATTAATATGACAATTAAAAATTGTTGATAATATTGGACAGTAAGGAACAACAAATCGATTATCTACTACAAATCCTCCAGGTTTCTCATACAAAATGCTAGTGTCTCTTCGACGGTATTGTGGATAACCATTTTCATCCATAGTTGTTTCCTCGTGAAAAGATTTTGGAAAATGCTTTGAACATTTTCCATTTACCATACACCAATTACCACATGGTCCATGAATCATATTTTTCATGACAATTTCATGCAAATTTTGATCAATAGCAGGATCCGGAATTTCAGCAGAAATATACTTATCAACGGTTTCCGAATTAATAATTTTGCATTGTTGTTTTAAAGTTACTAATATATGCACATGCGGCAAACCACGTTTCTGAAATTCGATTACATAAACGAATGCTTTTACTTCACCAAAAAAATTTTGTCGAACAATCAAATCTATCAAATAATTTTTTTTTTATATCAAATACTCTAGCACAAATATCAGGTCTATCAGCAGGTTGTTGATTTGAAAGTAAATTTTCTTTAATTTCGAGCCAATTTGGATTACAAGTCATTGTAATAAAAACATCTGATTTACCATATTTACGAACAATAGCCATCGCATCTTGATAATTTTGCATCATATTTCGAGGTGAACCAATAAATGTTGATGGAAGTATCATTATTCGTCCAACACGAGCATTAGCATCAGTCGCTTTTTTTCTAAATAATCGATTAGTCCCTGATGCTTTTCCACTCTCAACTGTTTTTGATTTTCTTTACACCAGTTAATTCTGTCTTTTTCTATTTTTACATAATTGTCAACAAGCCATTGTTGAAATAATCGTTTACCCATTAAAAAATATTAGTATTGTCACGAATAGCTATTCGATATTGAATGTACATAGATCTAGTTACACGTTTTCCATTAATTTGTTTAATATTATCGTGCCAACCTGGCGTACCATGTGGATAATACATTGGATAAATCCAAGGTTCAACGTTTGGATCCATTGTACTAACGTATTTTAAAGTTTTATCACGTTTGTTTCTAATTGTAACATAACAATCAGGAATATCTCCATCTGCAGTAGTTGAAAAAATTGCAGCAACTTCGTTAGTTCTTTGAATATTATATCTTCCGCGATCAATACCTGTTTTCTTATTTAAGAATGCCATTTTTAAATTAGGCACATTTAAACCTGAATTTTCTTGATTACAAACTTCTTCATGCATCATTTGATATGACTGAGCAAACATATTATTGCTGCGAATAATACCATCTAATGTATGTAATAACTCTTCATCAAGATTTGTATTTACATTTAAACGACATTCTGTAGCTTCGTTAGCGTCAAGAATGAAAAGCTGTCCATAACTTGATTGTTCTTGTGCAGCAGGATATAATGCAGTATTAATTTGATAATAAATTTGACCTTGAATTTTGAAGCAATAAGGACTTCGTCTTTGTGCATTAAAATTAACCAAGTTAGCATTAAAAGAGACAAAAGAAAATGCACTATTATAACTTCGCAGATTTTTAAAAAACTCTTTAGATTTTTTATGATTTCCAAAAAATAACTGTTGTAGTTCATCAGGAAATGGTGATAGAGATTCCAATATAACTTTTCCATGACTACAACAATCATTGAATGAATTACATTTATTATAAACTTTTTCAGCGTGAAAATGTTTTGCTTTACAATATTTGCACTCTACTTCCATTTTTCCTATGTAATGTTGATTTATATTATGATAATTTATGTTTTGAAATCCTTTATAATTGGCTCGACAATTTTGCATTTTTCTTTTATCTGTGATATTTTGTAATTGTATATTATCAATTTCGGAAAAATTATCATTTATATTTACTGAAATTAATTGACTTGAATCTGTAGTATTTTCAACACTTGTAAGTGTACTTTGTTCATGGTTGACAGTTTTTTTAATTATATTAACATTATCGTTATCAAGTTTTGAATTTGAAGTTATCAAAGAACTATTGCTCGATAACTTTGATATGCAGTTGTTAATTGTAGTAACAGAATTGCTCAAAGTCGACGTTGTAATAACACATTTTATTACTGATGAAGCAAGATAAATATTGTTTGTGACCAAAGGATTTTGCGATTTAGACACTGCAACTGATAAACTATTATTTAATAAATTTCTTGATTCACAAACTTTAGATGACTCAGCTATATTGTTTGTTGCATTTTCTTTTTTTCTCTCGCGGTATTTTTGTTGATTTAAAGCCTTTCGTTCTCTCTTTAATCGCTGAAATTCTTCTTCTTCCTCTCGAGTACGAATAGCTTTACGTTTACCCATTTTTAAATTATTTTAATTAAATCTTTTTTGTTAAATGTTTACACAGATCAATAAAATTTAAATATTATAAAATGTAACGAATATAAATGTATATACAAACAAAATATTTGTTTATATAAATTTTAAATTAATTTTTAGTTAATAAATTTGTAGTTAATAAATTAAATAACAGACTATTATATAATTTTATTAAATTTTATTTAAATGAAAATAGCACACTGATGATTTAAAATTAAATAAAATATTACATAAAATAACTGTTTTTATTTTACACAGTTGTTAAATTATAAATTTCAATATTGCACTTACATTAAATATCAATTTAATAATAAATAACTATAACACGATAATATTAATTTAACATTCAAATAAAAATTTAATTTAATTTTATATAGCGAATATAATTGTTATGTAACAAGTATATGTATAGTGTTCTTGATAATAAAATATTTAAATGTAAATCAAACATTCATTAATTTCTTACAAATTTCAAATATCAACAATTAAAATATCAAATAATACTTGTAGTGTTACAACTATAATGTCAAATATTTATGTCAAATTTTTATCTAAATTTTCACAATTATGTCCAATTGTCAAATTACAAAAGCTGGATTGGAGCTTTGTTTTAGCCAAAAATATAAGTGGCTACCAAACCTGAAACAAAATATTTTTATTAGCTTATTTATTATTTACATATATTAGCTTATTTATTATTTATATATATTAGCTTATTTATTATTTATATATATTTGTCTTATTATGTGAAATATTTATTATTAATTCAAATAAAAAATAAAATAATACCTGAATATGCTATATTTTGCTCATATATATTCAGTTGGATCATATATATTCAACGATAAAAATCAAATATCAATCCACTGTAAAAAAAAATTAAAATTATATTAACACATAAAACTATTTAAAATTATTATTTTATCTTTAAAACAAATAAATTTTTATATTATCTATATGTATATGACAATGTATTTAATAGGTATATATTATATATTATCAATTGATATTATTTTGTATTTTTAGCAAATATTTTGGCAGTGATATCATTTCTTTTCAAGATATATAGTAACAAATATATTATATAAAAAATATATGAAATGGTAATACACATTTGATCTTAAGTGTAGTTATAAAGAAAATCTCAAAGTCAACTTTAAAATTTTAAATGAAAACCCACATTTTTATTTGATATTTTTCTATACCTTATCTCGAGAGCTTTTCAAAATATTACAAAAAAATATTTTTTTATTAAATACTTTTTTTAGTTATAATATTTTAAACAGTATTTTGACATAAATTACAAAATATCTCGTGAAATGTTTAATTTTGTGTAATTTTAACATTTTATATATACATAATATTATATACATCGTATACTTAATATTTTATGCACATGAAACAAATCAATTAATGTAAATAAAATATAGTTTTTTTCTTTAAGACAACTATATATATATAATTTTACCGATCCCATCCTTTTTATACTATATCTTGTATAAATTTTATACAAACTAATTAATATAAATTTTACATAAATTTTTTAAAAACTACATACAATATTAAATTTATATAAAATTTATATACATTGTTCAATACTGGTTTTATATATATAAACTATACACGTACACACGCACGCACGCATGCACGCACGATTTGAAATGGAATACCTCATATATTTACATATAATATATATATATATATATATATATATATATATATATATGTCAAAGGGTTTGTTCCGAGACAGTAAAAATCTTACAGTTTTTAAATACATTTTAATAAAGCAAACTGATTGTGACCTAAAAAAGTTAAATGTTTCTTTCCGTTCTCGAGATATTATGTTTTAAAGTCTTCCAAGACACTTGCATAATGGCAGCTTTCAGGACAATAGTGATTTCCAGGACTGCCCTGGAATAATTCTATGTATAATGGTGTATTCCAGGATGTGAAAAATAAAATATTATTTAAAATTTTTGGATGTTTAGAACATTATAATAAATATAAATAATAATAAAAAATACAAGAAATTGCAATCATATCCAATTGGTTCAAATGAAAAAATATTTAACAAATGTTACGGAAAAAATGCAATTAATTTTAGTTATTTTCAGATGAAAGACACACTCTTATAGAAATAAAAAAGAACATAGATACCAACTCACCAAAAATTCTAATAAAGGATGTTAACAAAGGGTCAAGTGACCAATGTGAAAATAATGAAACTACTGGTAATTTTTATATACTGATTTTTTTTATAATTATAATTATTGCCTATTATACTGCATAAATTATATGTGAAAGATCAAATTCTTTAATATTGTTACTTTTAGTATTTAAATACTGAAGTTTCAATATTCTAGCACTGTGCTGTAAGAGAATCTTTGTCGAAAGTATATATCTTAAAATATATCTTATCAGACCTCTATTCTAATATTAAGTAAATCAAATGATACAATAATTTAAGCATTTAATAGAATCTTAATTTAATTTTAATAAAATAAATTTAATTTTAAATAATAAAAATGTATTGCGTGTGAAGAAACATAGAAATGATACTAACGCTATACTAATTATAAGTAATTTCTATACTAATAATTTGTAACAATCTTCAGAATTGCTTCACAAAGTAAATTTAAGAATGCACAGTTTAACATTGTAGATGCAGTTGGTTCACTGATGCAATTTAGAAGAGCAGTGAAAGATATAATAAATTGGATATATGTATCATTAACAAATTATGAAGTATGTAATAAGATAACATAAAGTAAAGTAATTTAATTTATTTCAATAAAAATATATTTAAAAAATGTGTATTATGTTATAATATTATTAAAAAATTGTTATAAATAATGAACTGCTATTCTACCCAGATAGCACAATAGTTTGCAAAGAGTTCAAAAGAGTTCGCAAAGAATTTATTGAAGCTTCACTAAATTCTTTGCGAACTCTTTTGAACTCTGCGAACTATTGTGATATCTGGGTAGCATTACGCAGTAATGAAATCTTTGTCGAAAGCAATTTTTAATGGACACAAACAACAATAAAAGCCATACGTGTAAGTTATATTATTAAGAGTAATATTTACAAAGATGTTTTTGAATTATTTGCAGGTAATGAGCCAATTAATATAACAAATAATGACAAATGTGCTTCCAATGCAGACACAATAAATCAATTTCATATTCAACATGAGGAATCAAATACTATAGTAAACTCATATTTAGATTTGGATGTGAAGTCCGATTTTCACAATGATAAATTACAGAGCAATGTTATAACTAATGAAAATTTACAAAGTCATACATTAGATAAAACTAAATCTTCTAAAACCTATCCTCGAATTATAGAAGACAAGAAATGCAAAATAAATATGACTATTTTATCAAAAAGTAGTGACACAACAGCAAATAGTTCATGTAATACATCTATTCTGGGGAATTTGGAACTTTCTGATGTAAATCTTTCTGATGTAAATGTTTCTGATATGAATGGAATAGACATAAATAATTTTGAAAATTGTGGTACAAATTTAAATAATAATAATGGAGAAGAAATGATTCACGAAGTACTAGCTGAAAATAAATCCACGTTTACATCTATCACTGAAAATACTGAACTGGACAGCACTATAGTACCATTTTGTGATTTAAACGGAGTTAAGAATTCTTCTATAAACAACGATATAAATAACAATGACAATAAATTATATTGCAGTAACTCACAAATTGAAAATGTCTCGCAAAATACAGGTATGTATATTTTTATTAATTTGTTCCTTTAAAAAGTATTTAATTATGTTCGCAATATTGGTTTCGCTAAAGACAGTATATTTACAGTATATTTAAAAAGAACAATATTATAAAAGTTAAATTTAGATTTGTTATTAAGCTTAAATAAAATATTTAATAATTTTTATCCATCAAATTATTACGTAGAGTAATATAAACTAATACTAATTTAATAACTAAAAATATAATATAAACTAATTTTTAATTTTTTTTCTTCGCTCACAATAATAAAAAAGTAACAGTTTACGTAGTTAAGCGTCGTTTACAATGAGATTTTAAAACGTAAGACGTAAGAAATTGAACAATCACAGACAAGATTAGAGAAGAATAATCTCTCTTCGACTGTATTAGTCAATTTCTTAAGTCTTACGTCTAAAAATCTCATTGTAGACGACGCGTTACATATCGTTTATAAATTCTTTTGAATTAAGCTAACTTAATGTAAATAATGTGGTATACTTTTTAAATATAATTTAACTTTAATTTGTTATTTTTAAAAATTAAATTCATTAAGTATTAACTTATTAAATTGTCAATAAATAAAATTTATTAATATAAGAGTTTTAACAAGGCTCTGTAATATAAATATAAATTTAACGTATAAGACGGGCAACAAGAGCCAAATCGCGGATGACAATGCGTTATCCTAACGAAACTAAATAATTTTCCGTTAGAATTAAATACCGGTGCACAAGGCACCAAATTTTACTTGGACACGGCCAAGATTTTTAAAATATGAAATAATCTCATATTTGAGATTTAATTTCAATACCCCCTTTAACCCCCCTACGGAAAATAAATAAATAAATGCAAGAGAAAAATATAGATCCGAAAATCGCTGAATCGGGAATCGAACCCGAGACCTTTCGCTTGCCGGGCGACTGCTCTTCCAGCTGAGCTATTCAGATCCTTTCGATTCTATACTTTTCTCTGTTATATATATTAATGTTGGTAAACAAACGCATTTTTAAGCCAGCGTGTATCAATATAAGAGTTTTAACAAGGCTCTGTAATATAAATATAAATTTAACGTATAAGACGGGCAACAAGAGCCAAATCGCGGATGACAATGCGTTATCCTAACGAAACTAAATCATTTTCCGTTAGAATTAAATACCGGTGCACAAGGCACCAAATTTTACTTGGACACGGCCAAGATTTTTAAAATATGAAATAATCTCATATTTGATTAAGATCTTTATCTTTATTAGATTAGAAAATTTATTAATTTTACTCAATTATTTTCTTTACTTAGCATTTCTATAATTTGATAGAATAATTTGATAAAAATAAAACATAATATTTTTAACATTCATATATTTTTAAAATAAAATTTTTTAAAATGTTTATTATTTCAGATTTTGAGAAAAATAAAATTTCTAATGTAAGCGATAAAGATTCAGATTATGAACCATCTATTCAGAGTTCAAATGATACTGATATTGAACATACTGATATTGAAATAAATGATGATTTAGAAATTGCAAATAATGAATCTAGCATATTAGCAAATTCTTCAGAAAATGCAAACGAAAAAAATATGTTAGAAAAAGAAATAGAAACATGCAAAGATGATGAATTATTTGTAGAATTGTCTCAAGGGCCCAAAGGAGATAAAAAATATAATTTTTGCTTTTACTGCAATACTATGCAAAGTAAAATTGCTCGGCACCTAGAATTAAAACATAAAAATGAAGAAGAAGTAAAAATGTTTTTATTACTTCCAAAAAAATCTAGAGAGCGAAGAGATGCAATTAGTCAAATAAGAAAAAGAGGCAATTTTAAATATAATACACAGGCAGATTTAAATAACGGTTCCATGATTGTTGTAAGAAGACCTACTAAAGAAGAGAAGCAATGTGGTTCTTATTTTTTACCATGTTCTAAGTGTAGAGGACATTATGCAATACATAATCTCAGGCATCATTATCGCATTTGTGCTAAGAAGAAAGATACAACTCGAAATGTATTAAAATTAGCACGAAGCGCTGCACAATCTGTTCATAATCGTGCAAGCCATAAATTAAGAAAGGACATTCTTCCTGTCATGCGAAATGACAATATTTATAAATTAATAAAGTACGATTTATTAATTATACTATACGGAAATTACCTCTGTCAAATTCATAGATTGCAGCATTTAGGAGACCACATACGACAACAATTACGACTTCTTGGACGATATTTAGAAGTATTAAAATCAATAGAACCGGCAATACAAGAATTACAAATGCTATTTGACCCGAAATATTATGATATTGCTATAAAAGCAGTAAATATAATTGCTAAATATAATGAAGACACAGAATCATATGATATACCATATAATGCTACAGCTATGGGCACATGTTTAAAAAAATTATGTAAGATCTTAATCAACGAATTTATTAAACAACATGAATACGAAAAACAAAAATCAGCAAAAAATTTTCTAAAGATTTTAGAAGTCGAATATGGTAGTACCGTTAATAAAACAGTTACAGAAATACAGACTAGAAACAGTCGAAAGAAAAAAGTTAATCTTCCGAAAACATCAGATATCAAAAAGTTAACCAATTATTTAGAAGAAATAAGAGTATCTAGCATGCGAGAAATAAAAAATAAATTCACGTTTTGTGCTTGGAAATCACTTGCTGAAGCAATATTAATAATGATTCAAATTTTCAATCGGCGACGTGCAGGAGAGATAGAAAGAGCTTACATTGTTGATTACAAAAATTTCATAAAAATTACAAAAGAGGATGAATTATATAAAAGGTTACCACAAAAAGAAAAAATATCTGCTTTAAAGTACATTCGTTTCACAATTCGTGGCAAGCTAAATCGGAACGTCCCAGTCCTTTTGAATGCTAAAATGAAAGAGGCTTTAGACATAATTTTAAGATATCGGAAATTGGCAGGAGTAAGTTCAAAAAATCCATATATATTTGGATTGCCAGGTGCAGATAAAAAACGATTTAGATATTTAAGAGCGAGTAAATTGATGCGTGAATTTGCTAATCTATGTGGAGCAGAGAACAAAGAAAGCTTACGTGGGACTATTTTACGGAAAGACATGGCAACAAAATGTTCACACTTACCAGATAGTGAAATTTCTCTCATTGCTGATTTTATGGGTCACCATAAGGATATACATAAAAATATTTACAGACAGCCTGTAGTAGAATCTGATATTTTAAATATGGCCAAAATTTTAGAGAAAACTCAAGATATATCTACACATAACACTGATATTGACACTACTAATAATACAAATACTAATACTACTAATTCAAACAGTACAACAGATGCTAATACTTCAGAGAATAGTATTAACGAAATTCAAAGCTTAGGTATTTTAAAAGTTCTTCAATTCTTTTATAATTTTAGAGAATACTTTTATAATATTATACTTATTGTTAGTAATTGTATTAGATTGTATCATATGGAATTGCTGATATTTGATAATTGGATTATTTCGTTCGATTTAAAAAGCTCGAATAAAAAAAGGAATATACAATTTAATATTAAGTAGACAGAAAAATATTATTGCTAATAATGTATATTTTGAGTGTATAAAATCTATTTCCTTAAAAGTACAACATTTTTATTTTGACACAAAAACGACAATTTCATATGATAATCTATCATATATATATAAATGAAAAAAGAAAATTTGTATTATATATTTTTTTACATAAAGTTTATTTTTAACAATATAGTTGAAGACGAAGCATCAGAGAATAATTTGCCAAAGAAAATTTTGCTAAAACAAAAAAATGTAAAAAAACGCGCCATAGAAAATATAAATAATTCAGATGAAGAATGTGCGCCAAAAAAGAAACGATTCAGTAAGTCAAATAATATTACAATTATACATGTATATAAAATCATTAAAGAAATGCATACCTTTTTCTTAATATTAAAATTACTTTTCTTAATTTGTGACGATATATTTATAGATTTAATTATAATTTATGTTTAGCACCTCCTTACGGAAAGACCAGAAGAATACGTTGGACTTCTGAAGAAAAGCAAACAGCTTTATTACTCTTCGAAACGAATATTAATAATTCTACTTTACCTTCGTTAAAGGAAATAATATCCAAAACGCGCAAAAACATTTTGAAAAATCGACAGCCAGCAGCAATAAAAACTTGGATACACAATCAATTTCGCAATAAAATATAAATGTCATTAAATAAAAGAAAATTAAAAGTCTTTAAGTCTTAATAAACATAAAGTAACTTAACATAATAAAAATAATTGTGTACAATAAATAAATATAATTACAGAATTATATTTATTTACACAATTATTTTTATTATGTTAAGCTACTTTATGTTCATTAAGACTTAAAAACTTTTAATTTTCTTTTATACTTTATCACTTATACTGATATTACATCTAAATAATCTGTTTCTATGTTTTTTAGTATCGCTTTTTAGTATTTATTCAGTTTTGTTTATTTATATATAAATGTAATATCAGTATAACAGTAATAAAGTGTATGAATAGTCATAAACGTGATAAAGTGTAAAAGAATTATTTTTATTTACATATTTATTTTTATTATAGTAAGGCACTTTGTGTTTATTAAAACTTAGAGACTTTAAATTTCTTTTATTTTTAATTATTTTTATTGTGTTAAGCCACTTTGTATTCATTAAAACTTAGGGACATTTAACTTTCTTCCGTTACAAGATATAGTATAGACACATATTATATAGAAGTATACTGTAATCAAATAGCGCCCGGCAATAAGGGTATACGGACACCCCGCGGCTTTGAAAAATAAGCGCTTACGTTATCTAATAATAAACAGTAAACACCGCGGTCGCGCGAGAGGGGATAAAAAATAGTTTTACTAATGACAAAAGTGACATGTTGCTCGGAAATATACAATTACAATAAACTCTCTTTTGCCCTCAACCGAACGATCGAATATGAGAAATGTTCGCGAGTATTCTCGAAAGAAGGGTCTATACAAACCTCCTCTCAAGCGGCCGCGGCGCTCTTTCCGATTGCTTATCGTCGCGAACAGAGTGTGATTCTGAACTCCGAAAAAGATCGCTTGTCTTTTTTGAGCTAAATTACCGTTGCTTGCGAAACACGAAATAATTAATTCTCGACTCGGCTTTTCTCTCGTATATTGTACTGTGCTTATACGTTCGACTCGGCTATCTCTTGGTTAATTCTTCGCGGTCTGGATAATTGTACTTTTTTGTGTTAGTTGTTTAAATATACATATATTTAGTATTAACGATACGTGGGTGTTGAGTGCAGTAATTTTCTGTCGTCCCGCTTCCGACTGCCCTATCCTGCTTTCCGTCGCGCACAAGGAGAAAAGTCTCTAAAGTGACAAAAAAATTTTTTTCTCACTACTGTAAAATAACGCCCGTCTTTACAGTGAAGTATTTTTTTTTATTTTGAGAATTTTAAGTCTTTTCAGTGTGTAATTAGTAAAGTAGTCATTATCAAATTTATTATTACAATGTGATAAATGTGCAGTTATAAGATAAGTATTAGATTTAGCAGACTTTTTTTTGCAGTTTGATTTAATAATATTATATAGTAACATAATTTTATCTCTTTCATGGAACTAAAGTCTTTTAATTGAATATGAATCGGGGCAATAACCAACATTAGAGAAAAGAATTCAGATAATACTTGACCGTCGAGACCTGTCCAAAAGATTTTTTTGTGTGTTCTGATGTTATTAATTCAGTTTATTTCAGGATAATAATTAAAGCAGCAATAAAACTTTTTTTGATATCGCAATATATGTTTCAAGTGTTTTGAATTTATTTTGTGTCGTGTTTTATGCTTCCTTTTTTCCTTTCTTTTGAACAAAAGCGAGTTTACAACGGCTGCGTGTGTTCAGTCCCCCGAGAAAGGCAGTAAATATAAATACGTATTGCGCATAACCTTTGGGATTAGGGAAAAACAAGCACATACGTGTTAGCAAAGCAATGAAAAATAACATCGCGAACAATAAAGCCTGTCGGAATAGCCGAATTGAAATTAGTCGATATTGAATTAAGATACATATGCTTTGGATTGTCGAATGTAACGACTGTTTTCAATTAACGGGTGTTATTTAGTGAGATTTTGTGCTTCAAAATTTTTTTATTTTGCGATTGGTGTCGAGTGGGGCTTGTTGGTTAATGGGATACTTTGGGTTTTTGGGGATTGTTTGTGGACCTGTTAGAATCGAGTTCTTACTAATAAATGAGCCAAATACCTCGTGAGGATAATTGGGTTGACGCGCTAACGAGACTACAGATAACTGATAAATTATTTAGATAGGGTTTCTCTACCGAGGGGGATCGCCAGGTGCTAAGTATTCGTTTACAGCGCCACGAATGTCGCAAGAGATTAGGGGTACGTTGGACGACTCGTACTCGTACCGCGCCGCAGAGCGAAATGGACAACGAGTAGCTGGACATTCCTCATGAGGAGGACGTCGATAGGACGGATAGTCCGATGCCGCTGATTAACCGACGTAAGTCGGGTGGGTCGCCAAGGACCCCTAGTTCCGGGAGATGATCGTCGACGAGTCCCCCGAGCAATTCCGCGGCCACTGCGTATAATGTAATGCGCGCAAATGGAACCTCAAATTTTCAGGCGTTCGAGAAGAAAATGCCGAAACATTCCTCCTTTGCATCGAAGAGGGTCGCGAACTCGTCCCGGTATTTGACAAGGACATTTTACATTGTCTACCGTTCTTTTTGCCAGGTATCGTGTTACACTGGTTTCGTGGAAAGAAGGATCGATCGATTGTATTCATAAGCTACATTCAAGTGCGCATACACGTTTTGGCGATCCTGACTTTCAGTTCGCGCTACGCGATGAGATAATGAGAAGAGCTCAGGGCAAGTACAAGCCTGTCGCGGATTATTTGATCGCGGAATTCGATCAGTTGTCGCCTCCTTGGAGTGAGACCGATAAAGTCAGCAACGCGTTCCGCAACATGTTTCCAACTACAGATCGCGATACGTCGTGACGAAATAGAAGATCTTGAGACTTTAGAGTATCTAGCGACTCGCGCGGAAACGAGTCACGCCGCTATACACAGATATCGTGCTCCGCCTACGCCGGAGAAATCGTTGTTCCCCGACTTAGCATATCGGACGCCGCGTAACGCATCAAAACACGCGAAAGGTGCGGAGACCGTCGCCGCCCTCGACTCGCCCGCCAGTATAGCTCGACACCTTCCGGTAAACAATCCGGCAAGTCTGCGAAGAAAAAAGTTACATCCGCGGAAAATTCGCGTACACACCGTCCACCTCCGCGACAAAAACACAAACTTTGCGTTTGACGACAGCTAAATGCTGGAATTGTGATGGCATCGGCCATCTATCGCAAAATCGTGAGGCCGTCTCGCAAATGCATTGTTATCGCTGCGGCAGGGCAGAAGTTACATTAAGAACGTATGTTTGACTGTTCGGGAAAAGAATAAGGGAGTCGATCGAGAACAAAAATTTGACTTCCGTACACGTCCACCTTCCGAGTTGGTGTTGTCGTGTAGTACGACAGAATAGTACGTTTGGTTGTCGCGAAAAATCGTCTTTGTCGTATTTAAATGTTAAAATATTAGGAAAGGAGTATCGCGCATTATTAGATTTCGGATCCAGTCGTATGTTTTTGGGACCGGAAGTTATAGGACTTTTAAAAGAGATATCGCGACCTTTTACGAATCCACAGGGGAATAGAGTGACTACTGCGACTGGTCAGACAACGAAGATCAGAGAAGAGATAGACCTCTCTTTTGAATTAGAGGGCAAAACGCAAAGTATAAGAGCATGCGCTCTCCCCACGCTGGCACTGTCGTGTATATTAGGTAAAGCCCACGGTCGTATACAACTTCGAGAAAAATCAGGACGACGTGTTGCGCAACAATTATGTAAATATGGAACCTACTAAAAAAGCTTTAAAATCGTTAAAATCGGATACGGAAAATTTTTCACGCAATAAATCCTCGCTGGATTGTATACGAGTTAGCGCATACGGATGTCGCGATAAGACGTCGATGTGTTGCGGCCTAATAGATCTGGCCTTAAAAGAGCAAGCTAAATTAAAAAAATTCCTGCGAGCCGAGATCACCGGTGATCTAGATAAACCAAGGGTTACATCGTTAGCGGAACACAAAATAGATGTCGGAAATAACGCGCCGATAAAACAAAGATATTATCCCGTGTCGCCGAAAATTCAAGAGGCGATTTATGAAGAAGTCGATAAGATGTTAGAAGCGGGAATTGTAGAATCTTCTAAAAGCGAGTGGTTAAGTCCAATAGTGATAACAAAGAAGCCGAATGGATCGTATTGTTTCTGTCTCAATTTTAGAAAACTCAATCAAGTGTCGCGAAAAGATGCATATCCGCTGCCGTATATGAATGCAATATTAGATAAACTCCGGTTCGCGAAATATATTTTGACAATATATTTAAGCCAAGCCTATTTCCAGATTCCTCTGGAGAAAAAGAGCCGAGAATTGACCGCGTTTACAGTGCCGGGGAAGAGCCTGTTCCAATTTACGCGTATGCCATACGGGCTCATAAAAGCCCCCGCGACGTTTCAAAGATTATTAGATCAACTTATAGGGCCAGAAATGGAGCACCATGCATTTGCGTACTTTGACGATAGTGATAGTAACGCGTACCTTTGACGAACACCTTCAGTGGTTAAAGCGTGTGTTAGATTGTATCAAAGACGCCAGGTGAACGATCAATCCGGAGAAAAGTACGTTTTGTCGTGCTCAAATAAAATATCTAGGATTCCTGGTACAACAGGAGGAACTAAAAGTAGATCCAGATAAAACTCCAGCTGTCAGAAAATCAATATGGGTTCCGCAAAAAACGCTTGACGGTTGATGCGCTCAAGGCAGTTAAAAAATGTATTCTATCATCGTTTGGCAGAAACGAATGTTCAATAGCCGTAGGTCTAGATATCGCCAATGCATTCAATTCGGTGCCTTGGACAGTTATTATACAGGCGATGGAGAGAGGGATTTTCTGATTATATCCGTAGAATAGTTGGCGGTTATTTATCGGATAGATTCATCCCTTATAGAAATAGCAAAGGTAAGATGTGCGAGAGAAGTTGTCGCTGGCGTTCCGCAGGGGTTGGTTTGGGGCCACTCCTGTGGAATATCGCTTTCGACTATGTTCTTAGACTGCCTTGGGAACCTGGCGTCAGAGTATTTTGCTACGCGGATGATACCTTGGTGTTGGCCACGTCCAGTAGTATTGATAATGCTGTTGCGAGAATCAATACGCAAGTAGCGCGGATTGTACGGTTTATAAGAGACATAGGTCTCAATATTTCGGAATCCAAAACCGATGTGGCTTTATTCTGGAAAGGTAGGAGACCTGCCATCATGCCTTCTATAATTGTTGGTGGTTCTCGTATCGAGGCATCCGAGTCGATGAAATATCTCGGTGTGATCTTAGATAGGAGGTTAAAGTTTTACGAATATAATAAATATGTATTGGAAAAGGTCTCCAAGGTGTCCCGGGTACTCAATAGGCTTATGCCTAATTTGAGGGGTCCCGGAAAAAACAAGAGGCAATTGTATGCGAAAGTTTTATCGTCAATTATCTTATACGTCTCACCAGTTTGAACTGAGTTTTTGGTTGCCCCAAGCGCAATCATCAGTCCTTTGAGAGATACCCAAAAGACCATCGCGATAAGAGTAATCGCTTCGTATAGAAGTGTCTTTCGACGCGGCAACATTGTTGGCCCGTATGCCTCCCTGGGCATTGGAAACCAACACGAGGCGTAGAATCTACGATAGTTTTATAGAATCTAGGAATACGGACGATGATCTTGACGAAACTGATATTAAAGTTCAGGAAAATGCCTTAATGGTTAGACAATAGGACGTCTTTTTACAAAGATTAGATGCCTGGGGTCTACGCACAACTTCAACTATTCGACCGTGTATGAGAGATTGGATAAACAGATTTGGCCGTATGAACTTCCACATGTCCCACGTCATGATTGGGCATGGTTCATTCGGTTATTTTCTGTATAGAATAAATAAAAAAGAGTCACAGGCTTGCAATCATTGTTCGTGTGCCGATGATACGGCCGAACACACCCTGTTAGAATGTACTGCTTTCGCGGATCAGAAACGTAAATTATTAATTGATTTGGAACTTGACGTTAATATAAACCTAACGTTAGGTATTATAATATCCATAATAGTAAGTTCCGAAAAGTTTTGGTTATCCTTTTAGGAATTTTGTTCAGTGGTGATTGGTATTAAGGAGGAGGAGGAAAAACGAATCGAAAGATTAAGTTTCTCCTCACCTTCATCCAAATAGTTTGTACTAATAGTAGCTTTGCTTTGTACCGTACTATTATGGTCATGTTTCTGTGTCTCATGTAGACATTAATTCTTCCTTTCCTTGTTCATATACTTCCTTTTCTTCCTCCTATTCCTTCTTCTTCCTTCTTTTTTTAATTTCAATTTAGAGTGATACCCATCCTAATTTGGACAGTCTTAGCGGGGTTGCTAAAACTCTTACTGCACGTCTGAATTACGGTGGGCGGGGTTGGATGACATTGCACTGTGGCGCGCTATCCTTCCTCTTAGCTAGTTTGCTGAATCAGATTTGCCAGTTCGATTATCGAAGTTTGGTTCATTTAACGTTACTTGTGCGTTGTTATGCACGGACGCGAGACGATCTTTTGGAAGTTATGCGAAAGCGGTTCCCGGAGGATCGTCGCAAGCGGTTAGGACAGCCACCGTCAGGTTTAGTGGGTTCGGGTTGGAAACGATGAGCCTTCAGCTCTTGTTTTATGGGCCTTCTGCCCCCCACCCATCTTCACATAACCCAAAGCTTTTTCCAAAGTGCAGGGTATGTGTAGAGCACATTTCTGACGTAAAAAAAAGATCCAGATAAAACTAATTCAATTGTCGAGTATTCTCCTCCAAAGACTATTAATAGCGTTTTGGTATCGGCGATTTATTCCTGAATGCGCCACCAAGTAGAGCCATTGACACGTTTGCTACAAAAGAATTGTTCTTGGGAGTGGGGGGATGATCAAAGATCAGCGTTCGAATCAATGAAAGCGTGCATTACGTCACCTCTTACGTTGTCGTGTCCGAGATTCGAGAATTATCTTTTGTATTGCAGACTGACGCGAGCTTGGTGGGATTAGGTGCTGTACTAACACAAAAAGCAGATGGTGTCGAGCATGTGATCGCGTTCGCAAGTCGCGCGTTATCAAAGGCCGAACGAAAATACGCAACCACCGAACAGGAATGTCTAGCTGTCGTGTGGGCAATTAAAAAGTTCAGACCGTATCTAGAAAAATACAAGTTCCGCGTCATCACCGATTATAGTAGCCTCCGATGGCTACACAATTTGAAAAACCCGACGGGATGATTAGCGCGATGGGCGTTAAAGCTCTTAGAATACGACTATACGATCGAACACCGGAAAGGTGCGCTATATCATGTCCCAGACGCATTGTCGCGAATATACAAATCTGTAGAGGAAGTTTGCGCTGTCGCGATTACCAAAGACAAGTGGTATAACACTCGTGTACGAGATGTCGAAGAATCACCATGCCGGTATCCGGATTGGAAAATAGAAGACGACTGACTATATTATAGGAAGCCGAATCGCGTCATATCAGAGATAGTAGACGACTTATAGCAGTGGAAGCTAGCACTTCCTAAAGAATCGCGCCTCGAAATAATACGAGAAGTTCACAACGGCCCTCAGACAGGCCACTTAGGGATCGAGAAGACTTATCATCGTGTGGCGTTACGTTATTTTTGGCCGCGAATGTTTAAAGATGTCACGAATTATGTTCGTCGGTGTGATGTGTCAGAGGACGAAAGTCGAACAAGGCGCCCGCTGGTTTAATGGGTCAGCGTAGAGTAGATACCCCGTGGACAAATGTCGCGAGCGATATTATGGGACCGTTTGCTCGCAATAGGAATGGTTATGAATACCTGCTAGTTATACAAGACTTATTCACAAAATGGATAGTGTTATGCGCTCCGGAAAACTACCGGTAAAAAGATACACGAGTAGACGAGCTTGTGATAAATCGTTGGGAAACACCACGCGTCCTATTAACCGACAATTATACGGAGTATATTAATTGAGAGTTAAAGGCTTTCGAGTTGGAGAGAGGTATTGGACACATCATTGTGCCCCCGTATCATCCGCAGGCAAACCCGATCGAGCGCGTAAACCGCGTTGTAAAGATCATAATTACCGCCTTTCTCGGAGAAAATCATAGGGACTGGGACGAACACAGCCGAATTTAGATACGGCGTATCATACGTCGTTGGGAACGACTCCCGCGTTTTTGAACCTTGACCGTAAACCTCTGCCGACGAATACCGAAATAGGCAGGCAGGAGGCGGATGTCGCGATTGAAGAAGCGGATATGGGAGAATGGCGCGCGCGGATGGAAAAGATACACGCGTTAAGAGAATGGGTTGTCGAGAACTTAGAAGCCGCTCATGAGAAACAAGCGCGATATTATAACACGCGAAGATGTGACCGGCTGTTCGTGGTTGAAAATTAGTGTTAAAGAGTCAATGTGTTGTGCGCAAGCCGCATCGGCAAAATTAGCGACTAATAAGTTTCATGGTCCGTGTCAGGTATTGCAAATTTTGTCACCTGTCGTATATGAATTACAGGATTTAGCGGGTAAAAGTATCGGGAAAATACATGTAAAGGACTTGAAACCTTATCTTTCTTATCCTGATCCGTAGATTGTTGTTGCGAAGTCAGGATGGAAAACAGGCGGAAAGCTATCCACGATATCGCGGAATCGATCGTGGAGATCACTGACCGGTTCCCGGGGATATGGGCCAAAGTGATTGCCGAGGAGGCCAACATAGTGGCCGAGCGACGCCGCGCCGCCCACAACGCTACCGCCCGCACCGAAGGAAGACTCGGCTAAGGAATCCTCCGCGACGGAGCCATCACCTGCCTCTTGGGCAGATAAAGTGGAGGTCGACTAGTCGGAACCGGCCGCCCCCGTCCGCGAGGACCTCGGGCCGACCCCCGCCAGTGACCCCCGCCAGTGATCCCCGCAGGGCATCCAGGCGGATGCCCACTCTGAGCGTCCATGGGTCAGGGCTGCCCTGTCCCCCCCCCGAAAGCCGCTCGGGCCAGAGGACCTCATAGTCCGCCGTCAGAACCCGGTACCGCCGGAAGATAGGAAGCTGCACGCCTTTTCCATCGGATATTTTGGGACCTTCTTCCCAGGGGTGCTGGCTGTGCTCCAGCCCGGAGCACTTCCTCCGGGAGTGCCCCTGCCGCAATATTGAGAGACAAGCGGTGCAGGTGTGCTATCGCTGCGGCGAGCGGGGCACTAATGTCCGAAATTGCTCGAACTGCCGAGAGGGCTAGAAGACCCAAGAATCATACGTCCCGGGAAAGGACACGCTGGATCCGAGCCGTCCCGTCGAAGAGGACTACCACTACCTTGAAACGGCGAAAGTATGGATACAAACGAGACTGAGTAGGAGTCTTCCAACCATCCAAGCTGTCGCGTTTCGCGTTGTACTCTTTTTTTACGTTCTCTTTTGATTCCTAGTCCACATACATATATTCCGTTTCTTTTAATTTTCCTGTGCGTCCCCTTACTTTTTTTGTTTTGTTGTCGCGCACCTCTACCTCTCAGTTTTTTGTTTTTTTTAATGGATTAGTGTTTTGTCAGGGGCCCGCACCGTAAACGAGTGGGGCCTGAATTAAGAGTCAGCATAGAGGGCGACTTTCTGTATATTCAAGAGCCGGAGGTACGATCCAGAAATAAAGATTCCTATTTTCTGCGTATTACTCGATCGTTTTCTTTAGTGCACCCTAAACGAAGAACCCTTGATCTTGGGATTGTTGCGACACGCCGATATCGTGCCCTGATAGTGTGCAGACCACCGAGAGACGAGGAACCGTAGAGAAAGTAATATTATCGCGTTGGCGCTGAGGGCCATTCCTCGACTTACAAATGTTATAAATAACTTGGTAGACGTTATTGTCGCGCTGCTATTGGCGTGCTGTATTTGTGGTCGCCTATGGCGAACCTATGATGTAGTAAAAATGGCAAGCTAAGATTTTGAGGCCTCGCGATCGCTCTTAAACGGGCCTATCGGTTGAGGCTCGGAGTTTGGACGCCGAAAGAGTAGTCTGAGCAGGAGGTCCTCTCTTGGCATGGGGGGGGGGATGTGACGTGATCGTCTTGACGCCCGTTCACGCCCCGACGCGGAACCGAAAAGCCGAACGGTCGTGCCAGAGAGCGAGAGAGAGAGAGAGAGAGAGAGAGAGAATTTATTAATAATTATCAAACAAAACTATCAAATTAAATAAAGTTACAAATAATAATAACCGGCTCTTATAAATCACAATACGGAAAGATATAATTCGCTGTGAGAGCTTATCGTGGATGTACTTGCACGAAATTTGTTAGCAGATTGCTAAGACTAGATGAGGAACAATTTCTAATTTTTGAGATATGAATTCCTCGGTTTTCCTTTAACCCCCTATAATAATGTGGACGAAAAAATAAAGTTACTTTTAAATTATGCATAGTTTATAATAATATATCATTTTTATTATTTCGCATGTACAAAGAAACAATTAAATTTTACAACCAAAATCCCAACATCTTATTTACTAAAGCAGATAAGGGCAACATTACGGTTGCAATGAATATACTTTTATATAAAAAGGGTCGAGAATATGCTGAGGAATGATGTTGCGTATGCTGTTGTCAATAACAACCCGTCGGCGAAGATAAAAAGGGAATTTAATAATTATCTAAAAAAATGGCTAAAAAATGAGATTATTAGTAAGAAAGAATATCATTTCCTACACTCGAGTGATTCTCTCCTTCCTAAGGCATATGGGCTTCCTAAAATACAGAAAAATACCACGTTTAGAATAATAGTGTCTTCGATAAATACATCTTTATATAATTTGGCATCTTTTCTTCACAAAATTTTAGTAGATAGTCTTCCCAAAGCGGATAGCTTTGTTAATAACAGTTTTGATTTTTGCAATATTCTCTCTGGAAAAAGAATTAAAGACTCTGATATAATAATATTTTTGGATGTAATATCTTTGTTTACAAACGTTCTCCTGGATCTTGCATTGAACGGTATCAGCAATAGATGGCATTTTATAGAACCACACACGCAAATTCCGAAAAGTAATTTTATTAATGCTGTAAAATTTGTATTGACTTCTACTTTTTTTGTATTTAATAACACAATTTATAAACAAATCTTTGGAGATCCTATGGGCTTACCTCTCTCCCCAATTATTGCTGATATAGTGATGCAGGATTTAGAGGTATCAATAATTAATAAACTGGATTTTAATTTAACATTTTACTTTCGTTATGTTGACGATATAATTATGTGTACCTCGGCTGACAATATATCAAATGTTGTAAAGAAATTTAATAGTCACCCTGACAGATTAAAGTTTACAGTGGAACGAGAGGTTAACCGTTGTATTAGTTTGTTAGACGATTCCATAAAAGTAATTGATAATACGATTCATTTTGATTGGTTTCATAAAAACACGTTTTCGGGTAGACTGCTCTCTTTTTTCTTGAATCATCCTATTTGTCACAAAATAGGGACAATATATAATTTATTAGACAGAGCTATATTATTATCACATCCTAGATTTCACAAGAAGAATTTAGAAATAGCCATAAATATATTATTATCCAACGGTTATCCTCTTGATTTAATTTTTTTGGAAACGAAACGAAGGTTGAAACATCTTTTAGCTAATAACTTAATCAGAACAGACACAAATGTTTTTACTAATCAAGGAAAAGTGAGCTTTATTGACCAACACTGGCTAAATGTAAGAATCTTTATTACAAAAGAGACGTTTTAATCCTAAATTGGGTCCTCTTCAGGCTCTTATTTAAAAAACACAAAAAAAACTAAACGCTCATAGTGTCAATCTATAATGTAAGATCGAATATAACACAAAATAATACATTTAATATGGAACGAAGTGTTCCCTATGGGGGACACATATTCATAGGGAACACTTCGTTCCATATTAAATGTATTATTTTGTGTTATATTCGATCTTACATTATAGATTGACACTATGAGCGTTTAGTTTTTTTTGTGTTTTTTAAATAAGAGCCTGAAGAGGACCCAATTTAGGATTAAAACGTCTCTTTTGTAATAAAGATTCTTACATTTAGCCAGTGTTGGTCAATAAAGCTCACTTTTTCTTGATTTTTAAAATTGGACTGGCAATCACATCTTACTTTTGGTTTTTACTAATGTTCGTAATAATAGAGATAAAAATATCAAATATTTTGTCATTCCTTATATAAAAACAATTTCAGAGTTAATCACATCAGCAATAAAAAAGCCTGACATAAAAGTAGGTTATCGATGTATTAGGAAATTGAATAATATTATAAGGGTTCAGAAGGATAGGGACGATCGTCCAAAAATCTCTAATGTAGTTTATAGAATCAATTGTCATGACTGCAATGCTTCATACGTTGGACAGACAAAAAGACAATTAGGAACCAGACTGAAAGAACACAGAAATAATATCAAATTGAATTCTGAGAGACACTCGGTTGTCTCAAAGCATATCCTAAATAATGGACACACATTTGATTGGGATAATGTAAAAATTTTAGATCTTGAGAAGAATTATTATAAAAGATTAATATCTGAAATGATACATATAAAAGAGCAAAAACAGGGCATCAATTCTAATAAGGACACAGAGTTTCTTGACGCTATTTTGATATACTTGGAAGACTGGCTAAGTCACAGTTCATGAAAACATTGTTAAAGTATTATATAAATAAAAATTTCTAACGTATTGAGGCACCAGTCTTGTTTCTGACTTTCAAGCATACTCATGACACCTTATACGGACGATCGTTTTATTCTTTTTGACAATTCGTAAGTGATTTTATATCTTTTTTAATCGGTTTGGTTCTTATTTTATTAAGATCATTAATATCCAAAATTAGCAATATTATATAGGTGGATTAAACTTTAGTAGTTGTAGAACTTTATTTTCCAAGTCCTGATACCATTGGTATCATAAAAAAACATTTTTCGGTAGATATCTGAATTTTCTTTCTCAACACCCTATGAGTCAAAAAAGAGGTACAATAATGGGACTTGTTGATCGAGCCTTTTTATTGTCAGATCCAGAATTTCATAAAAAAAATTTAGAGCTAGTAATTAATTTATTGCTTGAAAATAATTATCCACTGAAATTAATCTTTGACACAATGAACCATAGACTAAAATATTTAATTGAACAACGAAATTTTCTTACAAAAAATAATGACCACAGTGAAAAAGTCTCGTATTTTTGCATCCCATTCTTACCGACGCTTAGTGAACAATATAGAAACATCATTAAAAACATGAATGTTAAACTTTCATTTTACAGTCTTAACAAATTGAATAAATACATAAAAGTACACAAAGATCCTATTCCTAAGTGTTCAAACACCAATGTGATATATAAAATAGATTGTAAAGAGTGTAATGCGTCGTATGTTGGTCAGACTAGTAGGAAATTATCCACTAGAATATCTGAACATCGATCTAATATACACAGGAATGTAAAAAAATCTGTAATCACTGACCATAGATTAAAATATAATCATGAATTTTGTTGGGACGATGTAAAAATACTTGATAAAGAATCACTTTATAACAAAAGATTGATTTCAGAAATGATATTTATAAAAAGACAAAATAAAAGTCTGTAGATGGCTTGCCAATAATTTGTGACGATATTATACATAGACTACCTAAGATTTGAAAGTTAAAAAACATAAACAACGAACTATTTTTCTCACTTTGCGGTCGTCTTTTTGAGAGTTTAGAACCATTTGTTATAGTAAGCTTGAGCAATCAACATCTGAAAGCCTTCACGTCAAAGATTTCATCTCACTTGATTTAACTGTAAGTCTATTTTTTACTTTTATTTATCTGCATTGTTAATTTTCGTACATAATGATTTTATAGACACATTAACAATGGCAGTTATCAAGATTCGCAACCGGCTTCCTAACAGAACAATTAGGGAGAGATCCGTTTCGCGACAATCACATATAATGACGTTTTGAAGAATAGTTTATATGCTCATGCTTTACAAATGCGTTGCTTTCGCTTAATTAAAAATAAAATATCTTGACTCTGTATTTTTTTATCATAATGACATTTATAAGTAATTTATTGTAAAATTTTATTAACCTCTATTTTTAATTGTATACGCTGAAGAAGGTTGGAAAAGACAA